ATGGGGAACAATTCCTTCCCCTTGGGGCTGTCAGGGGCTGGAAGGGGCTGCCCAGGGAAGGGGTCGAGTCCCCACCCCTGGAGGTATTTAAAAGCCGGACAGACGAGGTGCTTAAGGACAGGTTTTGGGGGTGAGATGGCAGGGTTAGGTTAACGGGCAGACTTGATGATCTTAAAGGTCTTTTCCAACCTAAATGATTCTATGATTCTAGCAGATGCCACCCACCTCACACACTATTCAGAATGACATGAGTTACTCTGTCGCTGCCGACTCAAGGGGGGCCTGAATAAGTAACTCAAAATAGGCGATTAACTTTAAAGCTGCTTAAGTTGGGAGAAGTTAACCCACTTGTGTCCATGCTCCTCATTTTCCATCTGCTTGACTGAAGAAACACTGCCCACCTTTACAAGAAAAATGGATGTGCTGGTCCAGACCAAATCCAGCTCACTACTCTGGGAAGTGCTAACAGCACACATGCAGGATAAAGAGCAGAATGGTGACACTGGGTGACGCTGGGTGACCCTCCAGCACACACAATGACTAAAATCTCATCCTAGGGGTATGCCCCAAACTCCACCACGACTGTCAGCAGGGCTGAACCCGGCACACCAGACTTGAACAGCTGAACACAGCCATAATGAATAAGCAAATGTTCTACTTCCAACACACCGAATGCCAGAAAAACAGAATTCCAAGAGATTCCAAGGTATCACGCCTTACCCACCTCTTACTGAGCACAAAAGGTACTTGTGATCGTTAGTCACCATGCTTTTTCCATGCATAAAGAACTTTAGCTTTAACTATCTTCCACAGGAATTAGGGCATTTATTTTCCTTTCTTTAATATTCTGGGAAGGGTAACACGGAAAGGCTTATTAAAAACTAGTAATTTTTCAAGGTTTTGATGCTGTGACATGAATAATGAATGCTGCGCACACCGAGCAAGTAGGGTCATATGGGGGAAACCCCGCAATTACAGGAGCAGCTATGGCGATACGTTAGAGGTCCATGCCATCTGAAGAAGCCCACTGCCTTCTATGCTCACATTTTCTAAGTTGCAAATATTTGATTTTAGCACTTGGCTATCCTTTCAGCAGAGATAGCTTAAAAAAAATAATGAAGAGCAAGATGAGGGAAGAGAAAAAAGAAATCCACCGAATGGTAGAAATGCCGTGACGTAAAATCACAACACCGAGCTTGCGTCACTTGGAAAATTATGATCATAGAATCGTAGAATCATA